TAGGAGCTGAAAACGATTTTTTATTAGTATTTGATAGAATAAGTGAGGTGCGTCAGAATATGTTCAATCAAATTGTGGTTTCAATTCACTAAATAATGTTTTTCTGTAAAGCTCTCAGTCGCAATTTCTCTGTTACCTCAATTTTAGACATATAGTTCCTCTGCATAAGTTCGTGTCACAGATCTTGCACAATATCATGCAATTTTTCCAACAACTTTAAATTTATGCTTGTTAATAATAACCTTTTGCCGTACTTCTTTTGAAAAACAAATAATCCGCAGTTCATTCAGGTTCACAGCCTGTTACGCATTCGTGTTACATCCGAACATGAAGTTCGGTCGGCTATAGAATTGCTTGAAAAACGAAGAACAGAAGCCATTTCAAGACAAGCAACGCCAAATCCAGAAACTTTGAAATCGACACCCTTGACAGCGCATCGCTTGCAAAGTGTGCTTCACTAATTGAACATAATTTCATTTTTTCCTTGGCCCATATGAAACTACTGAAACGGTATCTTTATAGGTTCTGGAGCCTCTATACCTTCATCACGACTTCAAGCTCGAGCGTCAGCAGCTGCAGCAGGTGGATCATTGATCCGTTCTGTTCATACTCGCTCAATGACTGCGCGACTGGCGAGTAAACGCTCGTTTCCCCGTCCACCGCATGCACCACCGGCTGACAGTCCAGCACTGTCGATCTTTTCGCCCATGTGAGTACTACGCATCTATACTGGCAGATCATGCTTTGACTTCTTTTGGATTAAACACATTGAAGAGGAGCAGTGTTGAGATCAGAGAGAAAATTGAATTTCAAAGTTACCAGAGCAACTTTATAGCGTCCATCAACCTGGCATATCCAGGATACAGATACTGCTATGCAAGTCATTATCAAGCCTACCTCACTGAAAAGGCCAGCGCTGACAGGGTATCTTCCACAGTAGGGTTTTGTTGAGAGAATTAGCGGCAATATTCTGAAGTCATTTCGAGTATGATCTCTGATGACGTTAATCATGGTATGGCTATGAGTGTAGCTCTCACAAGCATTCTTCGAATAGGATTCTTTGGTGTATTTGAGAAGCAGTAAGCCAGAGAAGAACAGCAGATGAGAGCTGCAGACATATATGAAACTTCGCTTCCCGAGGTACTAGGGATGATTGCTTTACTAAGCGATTATATCTTCCTTTCCTTTCTTGAAATAAACTATAGTCAGCGGTGCGGCGCTGCACAAAGAAGATTCTTGTTGCAAGTCATTACCGTTAGGGAAGTTTTCTTAAAGAGGTGCGGAGAAGAATTTTTTGAGAAGAGATGGGCGTTAGTGAGGGGAGGTATGGAGAGGAAAGTGGAGGAGGGGAAGGGTACGCCCGCTCTTTCTCACTAGTCGGAAAAATAAACTTTTTACAAATTTTATTCAGTTTCACAAAAATGATTCTCAGTGTCTGCTTGATTCCAAACCATTTTCTCACTCCTCCCCTCTCTCCTTCCATCTTCTCTTCCTCTCCATTTGCTGTTTGAACGAAAGACTAGCCAAGTTGTATATAAATGAGCTATATTTGTTCAGGTCACTTGGTGGTCACTCTGAAATTGTAAATACCGCGGTGTCACAGACATCTGCACCCGCACATCAGGGAATCACACCAAGGTGAGATCATCAAAAATTCTTTTTCAGAAAAAAACTTTATTTCTGGGTGTGTACACGAATGAAAAAGTATCACTAGTTAGTTGAATAGAATCGTTATTGCGGCTACAAATGCAAAAATCCCTATCTTTCTACTACCACTCAGATTATCTTGCTCTGCTTAAGTTTACAGTTTAGCATAAAAGGCCGTTTTTTCTCACTATATGGGTTTCAGAATCCAAGTCTTCGGTCGTGAACTTCAACGTCAGCCCGATTTCGACCTTCTGCTTGCTGAATTATGTCTCGATCATGTTTGGACTGAACCTTCAAAAAGGGACCTGCGCGGTGAAATTGCCAACAAAGTAAGTTGACTCAACTGATTTGTTTTTGATTGTGATGTCACATGAGTCTTCGCAGATGTTTTTATCCCGAAACGTGCTGTCACAAGACTTCTTAAACTTTTTGATTGGTTCCCTGGACCAGCTTCGTTCCATCCGCGTTGTTCACACTGTGAGCAATATTACCACCTCAGGAACGATGTTTACGCTGTCGTGCCGTGATGCTACGGCTTTAAGAGTCAGTTGCGTTGTTCATTGCATCTTACAAGTCTATTAAAAAAAA